TTTATTTGGTCTTCACATGCCAGAGCCGCTTTGATGAGGAGCTGTTTTGGCACTGAAAGGAAACGAGAGCAGCTGGAGGAAAAATCAAATGAAACTAAGCCTCGGAAAATTGAAGAAAACGCAAGCTTAATAATATTTAATAATTAAATTTCCACAAACAATAGCGGCAAATGAAGTAATCTGCAAAGTCTGTGAACTCATTTGCATAATTGATGCCGGTCCCCTGTAAATGAATAATGAAGATAATAAAAGATGTTGCTAAAAATGGGCACAATAACAGCAAATTTCATCAAGCCGCGCGCTCTGATTAATCTGCTCTTGCAAATCAGCAGTGAGGGGGGACGTGTGATTACCCGCGCGGCGGCCGGCAGCAGGCGGCAGCCTGTCCCTGCCCCAGCCCCTGCCCTATCCCTGCCCCAGCCCCTGCCCTATCCCTACCCCTGTCCCTGTCCTGTCCTTGCCCCGTCCCTGCCCTGTCCCTGTCCCAGTCCCTGCCCTATCCCTGCCCCTGTTCCTGTCCTGTCCCTGCCCTGTCCCTGTCCCAGTCCCTGCCCTATCCCTGCCCCTGTTCCTGTCCTGTCCCTGCCCTGTTCCTGCCCCAGACCCTACCCCACCCCTGCCCCTTTTCCTGTTTCTGTCCCTGCCCCAGCCCCTGTCCCTATCCTGTTCCTGTGTCCGTGTCCGTGTCCCAGCCCGGGAGCCACCCCCGGCGTGGGGTCGCCTGCAGCCCGAGGGCACCGCACGGCTGCGGCACAGCTCCGGGGGCTTCCCATCCGCGCAGCCCCGGGGCGAAGGCGAGCTGGAACAGCAGGGGGCCGCACGCTCTGCCCACCGCGTGGGCTGGTACAAAGCTCTGCCGCTCGGGCTGCCCTGAGCAAACCGCGGCGTCCCGTTCTGCGACCTTCCCGCAAGCCCAAGCCCTCTCCTGGCGAACGCTGTGCCCGGCTGCCCAGGTGAGGGGACACGGTCCCGATGTGTCATTGCCTGGTAGAGCCCATCAAGGATGGAGGTCAAGCTCGGGCCGCTGAGCACCCGCAGTTTCAGCGCAGCCTGTCAGTCCTACCAACACTCCTTTATTCCTCAGAATAAGGCTTGCGATGTGTATAACTACCCAACCTTCTCACTGAGGGAGCCCCTCATAGCAGGATGCATGGCCCGACACTTCACACGGCAGCCCCTGCTCTACACAGATGAAGAACAAATGCCACAAGTATGAACTGATGGCCAGATTGTCATCTGGCTCAAGTGCTGGTAGCCATAAAATAGTACTTTAAAACGTAATACTCAGTTTGGCCTGATTTAGCTACTCCCACGAGGGTCCAACTCCACAGATTTCACCGGCATTAATTAGTGCTTTTTACAAGACTGGGATTTTTCACAGATTGAAAGAAAAGAGAAAAAAAAAATTTGAGCAAACAGTGACGCTGCTTTCTAAAGCTGATGCGTAGGCTGGCAATGGACACTGTGCATTGGAAGTAGGCAAGTATTCCAAAAGCAGTATCTTTTTATAAGACAGCTACTGTGCTCTTTTAAAGCATTTAGAAATAATCATTTAGGAAGAAATTAAGTCATTGGGATTACTCATAGGAATATTCACAATAAAATATCTAGGCAAAAATAATAATTCCACTGAACAATTCTGCTTTGCACAGAATCCAGACATACAGGTATATCACTTGTCATAATCATAGAAAGATGGGAGAATCAAAGTCAAAAGGAAAGGTTTTTAAACATTTCATTGTTTGATCCAAGAGTGGTAAAGAGGATTTACTGGAATTCTTAATAGACAAATAGTTACACTTTGATATTAGGCTATAACTTGGCATATAAAGACTCAAACAGAAATGTAATCATTTTTTTTAGATCAGTTTTTGGGAAAAGTTTAGTTCATTTTTAACTTAAACAATTGTAAGAAAAAATTGTTTGATGGCTTGCAAAATTTTCCTACGCTTATATAACAAAACTTTGATATTAAAAATACACATTTTCTAGCAGTTAAATCATGTTGAAGATTAAAACATCACACACTCCAGAATTTCTGTACCATAGCCACAGCTGAGGAATCTGCATGTATCTCATCATATTGACAGTACTAAGCATAATTAGTATGGGGTTTGTTTTGTTGTGTTTTTTTAAAAATATTTCCAGTTGTTTTAACTAATTTATTTCCCAAATTTTTTGGAACCCTAAAACTTAGGGGTTTGTCACATTTTTCAAAAACAAGTGACATAAAAAAAACTCATTATACATGAACCTTAAATCTGGAAAAGCAGAGTGTGAGCTTTGGAAGAAAAGGCAGATAACCATGCCAATTTGTATGAAAAAAGGGTCAAATGAATTAGTGAATTAAAAGCAAGATTCTCTCCATTCTGTCTTTTCCCACTGCCAGACAGACCTCTCTTTCAGCCAAGGCCCAAAGGTGGGATGCAATGTGTGACAAATTCAGAACAACTGCTGTAGCCCCAATATCACGACTCATTATATTGTGTAAAATATGTCCAATAGTAGAAGCGAGTGAGTGTCAGTGTGTGTGAAAAAAGAGTGTAGCATGGGCTAAATGCAGTGACCTTCCCTGGAATGTGAAAAGTTTGAAAACTATGCCAACAGGCTTCAACAATACTCCTTGCAATCAGAGCAAATGGAGAAGCTCAGTGGGATAGTAGTCACAGATTTTAAAAACCAAAAAGCAGATGTTTGATTGATTTAAGACATAGTACTTGCAGTTCTTAGATACATATGTTAATATAAAACTGATTTTATTTTGAAGAATCATCTTTTATTTCCTCCTCTTTTTGAGCACTATCATTACTCTGTTAGAAGTCATTATCAAAACATCTTTGTCTGACAGCAGGAACTGGGAATAATTAGATTTAGTCCAGTTCAGTCCAATGACTCTGGTGCATTGACTTAAGACCTGACCATTGTTGACTAATTAATTTAAAGGATCTTGTATCAGATGCAAGTGTTGTGATTGTTTTTAACACCCTACAGTAGTCTTAGTCAGAAAAAATATTCTAGTTTGCTATTCTCCGCATGTTTTAGTTCGGGTATTCTCCATCTTTGAAGATGGACAACTGAGTTGTTAATTCTTTGCCTTTCCATCCAAAATATTGTTTAGAAATTAATTAGTAAGTTCGCACCTCAGTGAGATACTAATTCAGAGATACTGAGACCATGCAGTATCTCATAAACCTGTGATTCAAAAAGGCTGGAACAGTTATCATTAACATCTATTTTTTTTCCTTCCTTTCTCCCTCTCCTCTGCTTTCCCATTCCTAGAATGTTTATGTATTCCATGTTCCGTTCCACAAAACATTCCAGTATTGCACCTACATAGACACCACCCAGAGAGCATCCCAAAATACAGATCTGCAGCATATGCCTGTTTTGTCCCCCAGTGTTCCAAAGAAAGACTGACAGAATTTAGCAACTCTTGCAGGAAATTGTTCCATTTGAAGTTTCACTTGATCTTAGCTGACAGTTTTCAGGCAGAAGCAAATTACATTGCTCTCAGTACAGATTGTATGAGCTCTCATTGCAATGGGAGGAAAGGATTAGGGCTCATTCTTCCTTTGCCCCTGATTTTTACCATTCCTGAGTGGAGTTTGTGGGTTTTAACTGCAGAGCCTCTCAGTAAATCCAGCCAATGTCTTCTTAGGCTAAGTCAATCTGGGAAGTTGTGTTAGACCTTTTCATACCCTCCCTATCATTCAGCTGCCATGTTTCCCTCTATTATAGTCATAGTTAACTTGTCAATGTGTTTGTTAAGAAACAGGATTTCTTTGACCACTCCAGCTGGTTTTTTTTCATTGCATCGTGAAATTGTATATGATAGCCTTCCATGCTAACTGGCTCTAAAGACTGTAAACTTCAGCTCTGTGTTCTGCCGTATTCCAAAAAAAAGAAAAATTAAAAATTGACCAACTAACAGGACTTCTATCATACTTTTGGAATAGACTTCTTTCTGTGAGGGATTACACCATTACATTGTCTAAGTTGAGTTTTGTGGCAATTTTCATATTTTAAATGTTCCTTTTTCTTTTTAATTGCTAGTCTAGTAGCTGTTACTAGGAGAAGACATAAAAAGGTGTCACATAAACTTCTGACCATGGCTTAAAGATTGACAGAAGTATCGCTAGAGATTGTATTTCTTCTACCAATTCTCATAACTAGGGCTTTGGCTCATACTGTCATGTATCTAGTCATAGCTGGTGACATTTGTTTATGTAATGTGCTTTTTTCTTCTAGTAAATGAGGAGATTTATTGTCACGCTATACTAAATTCCATATCACAGCAAGTAGCAATGGACAACCAAAATAATCTCATTGGAAAGCTGATGTTGAAGGGTTATTTTGCCAAAAAGTTAAATTCACGACTTAATCACACAAACAGCATTATATAAAATTAATAAAATCCAGGGGGGAAATCTTCATCCAAAAATAGTAGTGTCACTAAAAAACATTCTGGGACAATTTTCTCTGGCTTGTTCAGCATCATCAAACCATTAATTCTAGGTGATACTTTCAATGACACTCCCTCAGAGGAACAATATTAGACATTCACTTGTATGATCTTCACCTTGTATGAAGAGAATGAATAAAAAATGAAGTTCTTCACTGTGAACTATTCCCCGACTAGCTATTTTCATTTAAAATACTGTTTATTTTACTTTGACAGTCTGAAGGTTAAATTAACTCTGAGTTTTCTGTTCTTCTACTGCGAAGCTAGTGGGAAGACTCAGTGCATACTGCTGCCTCTTAAGGTGCTAAGGGAAGCGATAACATACAGCCCAAATGATAATACTCTTAACACTATTGAAAGTCTAAGTCATAGATTCATCAAAAACTTTCTGATCAGTGATACTTTGTTCTGTCAAAAGCATACAAGATCTTGATTACTAACACAGAGGCATGGGAAATAAAAATGAATTAAGACACTGTTTCAAAATAAACATTTTCAGGGATGTTTCCTATTCGTTCCACAACACATGGCTATTTACCTCCAGTAGAGATACTGCTCCTGGGCCAGAGATGGAAAGGATTTAGGTTCTTGTACATATTTAAGGATTTGATCCCTATACTGGATTTACTACCACTGCCTAAACAGGAGAGAAGGTTTTGATCACTCTGCCTATGAAAAAAACATAAGTGTATTGGTCATGCATATCCCTTTGCCCTTCTTAATACCAACCTTTAAGTAAAATTTTGGACATACTCTGCATTATAGATTTTGTAATTGCCTTCTCCCTATCATTAGTGAATATTAACTGAATTCACACAGAAGGAGAGTTTTCTGCACAATGAGGATCAGTCTTTTAGCTGAGGTTACCAGAATCTATGTGGGAATAGCACGTGTCACTGTAGTCATGTCACAAAATACATACACTGCACTGGGCAGCTACACTGAGAGAGCCATACCAGCTTTTTCTAGAATAAACCTGTAAAGCAGACTGCTACTGGAGATATTTGCTACTAGCTCATACAGAAATGAGTTCAGAGCCTTTTGAATTATTTGTTCCGTGCTCTAGCTGATAAACCACAGCCTATTTATTACACTATTTAGGTCTCATTGTTCAAAATTCATTTGCCTATCATGAAAGGCTGCTACATTGTTAAAAAAACGTAAATCTTAAATACGCAAAGTCCTAGCAACTCTATGTAGAATATCTTTTAAAAGTATATCTACAGTTGGATATTCAGACTGCCTACTTGTCTTAATTTATGCAAATATAGCCTATAGCTAAAAGCTTTGTATATTTGTTTCCCTGTGGTATTAGTATTCAAAAAAATAGGACATTCTTTCAAGGGCATTTTATAAACGCAGAAGTATAATTTATATAGCAAATTAAAGCTCATACAAAATGTGTGCACTGAGCTACAGATTAACATATTTAATTTTAGTATTACCTGCAAACCTATTTTTTTCCATGCACTGCTCTAATTAGCCATATAAAATCAAGTCAGTATGTTGTAAGCAATTATTTTAGTGGGAGTAGAAAGAGAATTTGAATTAAATATATGGCAAGAGATAATATCTTATGGAAATTAATATACTCATTTGTGTCAAGAAAAATGTGTTCTAGCTAAATTTTATAAGATAGTTTGGAGTTCAAACATATGACTCATGTAGAAGTTGTAGTTTTATAGTTACTAAGATGTTAGACTGTGGATCTGCTTTTAAGTTCCTTATTAATGTGCCAGTGCTCATTCTTTGATATCTACAGATTGTCAGTAACTACTGACATTTCATATTGTGAAATTCCTCCTATTATGAATATTCACTCCCCCTACAGTCAAATGTGCAAACTGTTAGTAATTCTGTATGTTAAAAGAAGGTTTTCTTCCATCATTTAAATATATGTATCATACTCGGCTCTTCGTATTTTTATTTTTATAACTATGTATTTAAGAGAATTAAATTATGTTGAAAATCAAATGCAATTTTTCTTTCATTGAAATGGAGAAGTAATTTTTTCTTCCCCATTTTACCCTCAAAAAGTCTGAAAGCTAAATATGAAAATTCTGTTTAAGGAATGAGAAAACAAAAAGTGATCCATTGTGATAATAAACTTCAGCTTTTTCATCCTAATACAGTTATCAATTTTGATGGGATTCAGACAGCAGAAACCATTTTCTAGCAGTAAGAGCATTTAGCTGATCCAGTTTCTGTAATTCAGAATTTTACACTCAATTTCAATTGTAGAGTCTGCAATACATGCCATAGTTAAGTTTCTTTTGTAAGAAGGATAACAGACCCAGACAATTCCTCCTACTTCTTGCTCATGATCTCAGAATATCAAAAAAAGATCAATACTAACCCCATGGAAGTCTGATGACTGCATAACGATCTTGTGGCCTTAAAGCAACTCTTCTCCATTTCTTGGTACGGAAGTTGCTGACTGACATAGCTGCTTTATACCTCCACTCTGCCTTGGGAGAATGATAACATGGAATTTTATTGCTTGGAAGGGCCTGCCTAAGAAAGCAAACAGAAAATGAAGTCTTTTAGAAGAGGTACAAAAAATGGAATTATATTTTTGCCTTCCTGCCTCCAGCATCATACAACAGAAGCTAATGCACAAGAAACTTCCTAGATCTAGAACTGTGAAGGAAAGTTTTCCCATCTCATGAAAATTCAAAACTTTCATATGATTTATTGTTTCACATCTGAACAAATCAGTGGGCACTACAAAAATACAGTGTACAGAGGCACATCCTAGTTCTTTCTTTAGCCTTCTCTCACATCCCAGCTGAGCATCCTGGCCACTTGAAGTATGAGGTAAGTTGTTCTCAAACTTCCCACTGAAGCCTTTTCATCTTCCATAAACAAAAAATTTTCATTTTATGAACCTGTACCTGGACAGAACAACAACTACTGACCATTCTTAAGCAGCTGTATTTTATACATATATATAAAAACACATATATACACACACATACACATACTGCTATTTGGACAAATCATCATCTCTAGTGAAACTCATTCTGTTTTACATATCCAAAATAGTTTCCTCCAACTATAGGAGGAATAATTTCCAATCTTCTATATTATAGTGTACAAGTAAAAGGAGCGTGAAAAAAATATTTTTATTTAAAACTTTCCTTAACATTGTAGGACAAATTGGCAACATGGCCTCAACCCAGTCTGTAAAAGTATGTGGAAGAACTTCAAAAGTGACAGCTAAACCTTGCACTCAACATAAAGTGCAGTAGGAGTGACAGAAAAAGTGGTAGACAAATTAAAGAGCTACCTCTGTTTAAGCAATTTTTTTGTGACAGCATTTTAAAAGTTTGCTGGGCAATTACTCTAAAATGACAGCGTACTGCTGAGCGGGTAGTGCACTGAGAACATAAAAGAACTTGTCAATAGTTATTTCAATAGGCACTTTCAAACTCACGGGAGCTTTAGTATACATCATTACATCATTAAAATATTAAATTATTTCAGCTATCACAGATGTAAAATTGTTGCTGCACCTATTTTGCTAATTAACTCTGACATTTATGCTTATGCTTATGCATAAATGTTACATATTTCAGAGATGGTTCATTTTTACATGCTAGTTACTAGTCTGTGGATTGAATCAACATGCTTGTAGTATCAGAATCAGTTGCTGTACCGAAATACAGCAAACTTTTGGGTCACTGATGCGGTCTTGCATTTAATTTTTCTTCCTCACCTTCTTCAGCTATCTAAGTCCACCTGTTGGGGTGATGTAAAGAAACTATTTCCATGTAGCATTTTAAAAGCTTGTTCATTCTGTTGTACCAGAAATTATGTCAAGTATGAGTTGTGATTTTCTTTCAAATGAAAACAGTTTGCTTACAAAGCAAATACAAACATGGTCATGTAACAGAAAATACTCAAGTAATATTACTAAAGAAATATTTTGCATCTGCTTTACATTATGTACCTTCTGTGTGCTTTTTTGTACACATTTACTCAATATTAATAAGGGACCATTTTGGAACAAAGCCTTGTTTTAGCATTTTAAAGATTCTCTGCATATCTTAGTAAAAATGGAATAGGTTTTCTGTAGGAAAACATTCTCCTCTGAAGAGTGAGGCCAAATTTCCAATAGACATTTTTATCAGTGAATTAACTTCTCCCTAGTTACAACAGTCCAACTGGAGTGTCAAAGAATAACTTTTGTAACACATGGGCTAAACCTGCATTTAGGCAAAACTCCCATCCAAATAAATGGGAATCTCTCCTACAGTTCTGTTTCTGAACCTGCCTACACATATGCCAAACTTCAGGCTTAAATAGCCCTACCGAAGTCCACAGGATCACCTGCTTAAAATTAATCCCATATAAATTTGTGGGTTTAAAGCCTAAAGAGGGAGTCTAAAACTGAGCCTTACAAGAACAATGGCTCAGAGATTCTAAAAGGAACTGCTCAGGGAAACTTAGACTGCAATACCTAACTCTTCTAGTCTCCTTTGAAAAATCTCTTCATTTGCTCCACTTATTTCCTGAGTAGTTCAAGGCTCCTGTGTGACAGGCAAAAAAGAGAAAAGATACCCTCTCCGATTTAGCTACCTCCAGGATTCAAGCAGGATATGAATAGTTTTGATCCAGATCAAGTTCTTCACTTTATCAACTGGTATAAATATCCAATATGATAATGCTAGACCTATATTGATTAGTGCTTTAGTCAATGAGGACATGTTTGTAATGGTAAGACACTGTCATTTAGTGGGGAAAAGATCATTTAGTGACAGGTAAATTATTGCTATATCTCATTAGGAATGTTATGTTCTTGTGCTGAGTTCAGACATACCAATTGCAAAGAGGTAATCATCATAATAGCATTAAGATGTTGCTATATTTGGATTTGATTTGAGCTCACCACTGGATCAGCCCATTGTCACATACCAGCCTGGAGTACAGGGAAGATGCTGCTCTACAGTGACTCAGGCACAGAGGAAAAATACAGACCCTACTGTGACCACCTACTAGGAGATGTATTTAGCAATTTGTTTCTAGAAGCCTGTGATTTTATAATTGAAGGGTGGAATTTTTGAAAGTTTCTGAGCCTGCAAGGAAAGGTATGTGATTTATCCAGTAAAGCAATCTGTCTACAGCATAGTATTCTTATTTTGTGATAGCTGGTATCTGACAAAATTATACAAGTCTGCAAGCCTGAATCAGTTATACTAGATCATTTTGCTTGATTCCAGTAGTAGAAAGGGATATGATATCCATTTGCACTCCTTTTACTGCTAGCCAGCTCAGTCAGTCTTTGTTTAATAAAATACTGTACCCTCCTAAGGAAGATGTCAGATGTAGCAGAATAGTCTCTGACAAACAGAAGTGCCACAAAGGGTTCAAAGACTCCTACATTTGATGAAATTCTCTCTCACAGTAGGAGGTGTAAAGATCTAATATACAGAAATTCAGAAAAATTTCTTCTCCGTTTTCTTACTGTAATGGGAGTTCTTCAGGTATGAATGGCTAGAAGGTGTTTCCAGGCAGATTCCAAGGCAGTGCTATGTGCCAGAGAGTATCTCTTGTGTTAAATCTTACTCATAGAACTGCAAGTTCATTTGTTACATTAAAAAACTGGGTTTTCATCCACCCCTTCGATGCCCTTCAAACTCCCACAGACATGGTGACACAGCGTTGGGCAGCGATCCCCAGGACTTCCCAGGTCACTAAGAAAGGAAGAAGCATGTTCTTTTCTTGACAAGTCTACTGACTTGGGCAGCTCTGAAAGTTGGTCATTTTCTCATTTCTGTTCTCCCACACAACAAATAACCCAATACATACTGCTCAGTAAGAGCATTTTCCTAGGCTCAGAAGAGAACAAGCCCTTTGGTTACACTGGATCCAACGACAGGTGAATCATTTCTTTCCTGGAGACCTGAGCACAGTTTTCTTCATTTCTGAATGACCAGGTACAGTCTGGCTCCAAAAAGACTGCATTAAATTTTAATAATTGGACTAATCTAAACAACTTTTGTTTTAGACTAATGATGTGCATGGCTTGCATCTGCAAATACTTCTCTATATATGCTTATATTTTAATTAGATAAGTTAAAGTTTTACATTTTTATTCATCTGCAAATTATGTTTTAATTTACCTGTCATATATTTAGCAATATCTAATGATCAAACAGAAATTTTAAGATTTTAAAATTAAAAAGAGAATTGTCATTTACTAATGCATTTGGCAATCATTCAGCTTCACTCTCCCTGATGCTGGGGAGAAATGATAGTTCCATCTGACCTGAAGTGATCCTGAACATCACCTGAGAGTTCAGTTGATCTTACAAGCAATTCTCTACCCCCTGCTCTCCTGATTGTACCAGTCTTATATGGGATTTGTTGGATCCATCTTGAAGAAGACAGAAACTTGAGATATCAGACTTTAGATCAGAAATACTAACAATATTTCCTCCTGTTGCACAGCTAAAATAAACCACAAGTAACATGAATATGTTCTAGTTTCAGGCATTCTATTTCATACTATCTTCTAGTATCAGGCATTCTAAATGCAACTAAAATTTCCCATAAAAAGGAAGTCAGTTCTTTCACCCTGATTTACTGCACAGACAGAGGAACCCCTCTTGATTTACATTACCTTATAAGAACAAAAAATTGCTATTATATATGCCAAAATGTTACCTGATAAATTTTTTAGAATTAGAGATTACACCAAAAATATTTTCAATGAAATCTAAAAACAGAGAAGCAAATTTAAGCCTCTAATTCATTAAGAGCTAAACTTTCAAGGCTGAAGATCATATGTCACTTCTGGGGGATTACAAACAAATCTAAATGTTTCACCATGATTTTCGCATCATAGGAAAATGTGACAGTACTAATAATACATGGTATTATATACTGCTAGACATGTTGGACAAATTACGTCTGCTACTGAATAAATGTGGAAGGAGTCTGCATTAGAAAACTTCCTGCTGGGTCACAAACATACATCAGGAATGGTTTGTTTTCAGCACAAGAAAAATTGCCATTGTCATATTCCAAAGTGAGCGTAAATTGTTTTATTATAAACTCCCTGTTGGTCCCAGTTTAACTGAGAAATCATTCAATCTAAATTTATCTTTTCTCTGCATGGCAGTGCCATGTGTTGGTATCACCAAACTCTGCCTCAGTAACAAGACCAGCATTCCTTTAAAAGACAGACTGCTCTCTTGATCCTAAACAACCTTGCCATACATTAACTCTTGGTTTGCCCCCACTTACTTTGATTTGTAATCCAAGGCTCTCAATTTTACAAAGACAAGGCTTCATTGTTACTGATTCACAAGGCAATCAGTCTCCACAAACTTCCACCATGCTTGGCAATTATACATGTATGTATATGAATATATCCATTTTGAAAACATAAAACTATTCCCTATTTACATGACCTCTTGTAGCTTCAATAGAGAGAAAAGCCTAGTCCAGATTAGCAATGATAGATAAACCTATTCTGGCCACCCTCCATTCACTTGATTTTCATTTGA